TCTCTCAGGCTTTGGTGTTCAAGAGGTCCTAAGGGTGGATCTTCTAGCTGGTGACCACTGCCATGATGGAGATCGCTCTGAAATCCATGAAACCTGGTCATGTTTTAATGGTAGGTGTTGAGGGAATGAGGATCCGGATCCAGCACTCCCATTGTCCTAGTGTGGGGATTGTAACCTGGAAGGTTCTTCTGTCTAGTCTCCTATGTTTTTAGCAGCTCTGTGGTTTAGTTTCAATTCCCACAAGAGAATGGGTGATGGGAACTGTTTCCTTCCAGCTCCCCTGCATTTAAGCCACTTGTGGCTTGGGTTGTCTCCTGAGAGAGGATGTGAGACTGTCTCCTCTTAGGCTGAGAAGGGACTTAGAACTCTGCCTGGCCTGAATGTGTGCTCCAGCACTACAGTTATGTTTGCTATGATTGCCATTGCCCATTTAAAACCTGTGATTCTGCTAAAGGTGTTTGGTGGGTCTTAGGCAAGGTGTGAAAATAAATACCATGTCAAGCCTTCTCAAGTGCTCTTGCCCTGGGTCTCATCAGGATTAAGCAAGAACTCTGGTCTTGTTGGCAAGGCCAGTGTGGCTCACAGCACGTATAGACCTCTAGTGGCCCAGGAATCTCAGGTATTTCTTGGGATGAAGTTTTAGACTCGGGCCTTTAAACCTTTCTTGGAGCAGTGTGCAGAAGGTCCCTTTCTATTTGCTGCTATTCACCGTCAGACTATCCCGTAAAGCCATGATATTTTCCTATGTGACAGTATCCTTTCAAAAGGCCTGGTTTTAAATGACCCATTTCCATCACTGCTGTAACATCCAGATGTCCTTACCTTTTCTGATGCATCATCTACAGAGCCATTGATATCACCTCCATGACTAAAACCATTACTGTGTTTCATAGCACTCGATGAGCTGCACACACAGCCTGGGATTTGCATGGGTGTCAGAAATCTCCAGATGGATATTTCTGCTAAACTATTTTGATATATGCTGAATGGAGATTTTGCTGACTTGGTTTCTGAGGTTCAATACTTCTTGATTTTGGCTAGTAGCTCCTTATAATTAGGAACATCTTTATTGTCCATTTCTACAGCCATTTTAAGTGGAGCAGATTTATTTTTCGTTTTCCACAGAAAGGTTTTTTCCAACAATGTCCACTTTGAACTCCCTGATTCCCCTCCCGAACCTGGAAATTTTTTACATGGCATGATGTGTTGTCCACACAGAAATGCTCACAAATCCTGTGTCTTTGTCTTGCTTTCAAAAAAAAAAAGAAGACCCTCAAAATCAAATAAATATTTCAAATGTAATTTCCAAGAGCTTTTAAGGGTTACCATTTCCTAACAGGAATCTTCAGCCAGACCTGGATTGCCAAAACCAAGCCTCAAGTAAGTTTAGAGGAAATTAAATCACAAGGTATTGTGGAAAAGATGGGCATGGACCCATCATCTTGTCTCAGTAACTTCAGAGAGGATGTGCTGAAGGACTGTCGTTACTCAGAAGTTGTTCATACATGTTATTGTCTCTTCCTTCCAGGCTTTTACTTCCCAGATGTAACCACGTCCTCAGGTAAGAATAAACATGGAGTAGTATTTGCTGTTAGTTCTTGTTTTACCACTGAAACAGCACTAGTTATAAAAGGATGACTTAGATGCATCAGCACAGCTTATTTCAGCTGAAGAGTAACTGTGTCCTTTTAGAAATGCAGAATACTCAACCTGTACTACACCTACTCACCTTACCAACACTCTAAGGCCCAAATCATCCAAGGCGTTTAGGTTCCTGGAGGCCATATGCAGTATCCCCAGTAAGTACGAGTATGTTCTAGTACAACTGCAAAGGCATTTAACTGAGTTATAAAGACAAAAACACACAGCAAAGGTCATGTGACTGATATTTGTATTTTTAATTTTTTTTTGCCCCAGAAGCCCCAAGGACAGGAATAGAAAAGTTCCAGTAGAAACTTCACAGACAGTTTAGCAGATGTTTGACAAGCTGGTGAGTGCAGAAACCTCCAATTTGTAAATTGCTGTAAGCTGATCCACAAAAAGGTGTGATGTATCTAAAAAGTAGATTGATTTATTTTGAATCTAAAAGGAATTCTATTCAGTGAAGGTATGCTGGATCTCTGGAGATAGATTCCTTCTTACAAACTTTCCTCCAGCAAAGATACAGATAAACCCAGGAAAAGGAGAAAGCTCCACAAATCCTCTGGACTGTGTCTGACCAGGTCTAATGAGAACGCCTAAGTGGCAAAATTCAACACCTATTGTGTGTACAAATGGTGTAAATAATTTGATTAAATGAGACAATAACTAAAATGGGAGTGGAACCTGAAGTTTCTCAAGCACTGCATGAGGGGAAGATGCTGGTAGAAGGCCAGGCTGGCATAAAGGCAGCAGTACAAAGGATGTGTCCTCTAGCACGTTCTCCTATAAAAAGTCAGTGGTCTTTCTTTCTCCCAGGCAGTAAGGAAAAAACAAAACAAAACAACCAACCAAACAAAAAAACCCAAAAAACCAAAAAACACAAACATATTCAACTGGGTATATTCTCTACCTGACAAGGAGATTTATTGCAACAAAACCAGGAAAAAAAAAGTAGAAGAGCTTCAAAAAAGGTCATCACTAACCCAGTCCAAAGTCCATGTGCCTGAGCCCAAGTCAGCCAGCTCCAAGTCACCTGCTGGGAAACCTTCACTCTGCAAATTCCTTTCTGCATGTAAGAAGCACCCTAGAAAACAACTTTTGGGTTGCATGTATGTTTTCAAAAAAGAAAGAGGGAGAGCATATAGATCATATAATAGGAACAGGTTTAACTGGTGGGTTGGACACTGAGGTCCACATAGGAAGTTTCAGCTGATAATTCCAGAACTGATGTGACTAGACAGCATTGTAACAGCTCAGTAAGCACACTTTTTTTCTTCTCAAAGATTTTTCCATCTCCCTTTCTAATCTCAGTTTTTGGGCTTTATTTTTATTTATTTTATGAGTACTCCATGGGGTAAAGTGCACCTAGTGTTTGCTGGAATTTTTCTAGTGCTGACATCTTGTCCAAAGCAAAGAAGGGTTAAGTGACACTGCACAATATAAATTCCCCACTTTTTTTGCACAGAGGAGAGAAAAGATTTTATAAATGGACACCTTCAGTCTGCACACGCTCAAAAATCTCTGGAATAGTGCCACAATGACCTTTGTGACTCTTCTGAATATTAATCTCCAAGATCAGTTTAATTCAGATGGTTCTGGGATCTCACCATCCAATGACCCATATTACATTCAAATGTGCAAGGTTTTGTTGTTGTTAGTTTGCCTTTTTTTTTTGGTGTGTTTGGTTAGCTTTTTTAGTGTGTATTTATCCTTAATAAGAAATAAAATCAGTTGGGCAGTTGCTTCAGCTGATCTGGTGATAAACCTGGTTGGTCCTTGTCTATGGTTTCACCTGAAGCCTTCACTACCAAGTTAGCTGGGCTGATGGTAGAAGTGGCTTTGATTTCCAGTGCAGTAGGTGTATTTTGAGATAGCATAGAAACTACATCTTCTAAACACCTGTGTTGAAGAGCAAAATGTCTTCTAACCTGCAGAGCTCTTGCAAGATAAATTATCAAGGTTCACCATTAAGTGCTTTATAAGCAATACTTGCGCAAGTCAAAGGGTATTTGGCAAGACTGTAAATTAGAGTTTGGCTGAGATGGTCAGAAGCTATCCTGAGGAGTCTAAATTTTCTCTTTTTTAAATTCTTACAGCCCTTTGCATGAGGAAACTCCTCCAACAGGTGAGTGACTAAGCCAGTGCTGTAGAGAATCCATTCTAATGTGTATTCAGTGTTTTGTTTAAGACTTCTGCAGTTCACTTTGAAATTGATTTTCAAACACTCTTATCCTGCTTGATGCTCTGGATCTCCTTCACTTGCAAAACTGTGTGAAACCCTGTGACAGCACAATGGGTACATGTTTGGTTCATTCTGCCTAAGTCATGACTATAGCCAGCAGACCAGGTCTGAGAGACCAGGTTAAGCACATGGCCAGTAACAAGGAGTCACACTGGATCCAGCTGCTTGACCTCAGTATGAGCGTTAACTCTCTGGAGTGAGAAAAGTCCAGATGCTTGTGTTTCTAACTGCATCCTTAGATGCACTCTCAGGCTTGAGGCTGATGTAATGTTAACTGACTCAAGCCAGGCAGTTTTCTAGTACAGTATGCCAGCTGGGTGATTCTGAAAACCTCATATTTTCACTTTATACTGGAGTTTCTTGGTTTCACTTACACTGCAGAACATCCGGAGTAGCTCTACAAACTTTCACGTGCTTTCCAGATTAGTTCTGAAAGATACCATTGTGGGGAGACAAGCAGCAGACTAGGATGACCTTTGCCATTTCAGCTTCTCCACTAGTGCCACAGCTACCATGTTTGGATCAGTTCCTGGATTTCAGTTTGCTGAGACTGAATGAAACTCCATTCACTATTTGAAGGCATCAGCATCATGATTTGGAATGTTTTTTTAGTGTGTACACAAGGTCTTTAAAGGTGTGCAGGAGCCACAGTGCTGCTTGATGTGGTACATTTTACAGAATGGAAGGCTGAGCAAATAGTCTGTGTGTTGCCATCTCTGGTAGAAATTGTTTCTAAGGCATCTGTTTTCTGACAGCATAGAATTGGAGGTAAATTACAACACACACATTGGCAAAGGAGGTCTAAATTACCTGCATCCCTTAGGAAGGCAAAAACCCAAATGCTGAATATTTTACCCAGAGTGTGTACAAGTCATAAAACATGCTCTATTTCATGTACATATCAGATAATTATCAACTTGTTAAATTCATTCCATCCTATACCACCATATCTTTGCCAAAATTAATGTTCATTATCACATAAGTTAAAGATTAAAACAATTTTAAAAATTACCCCAGTAAAAATGCACCCAGCAGACTTTCACCATAAATGTGAAGATCTGTGATAAAGGTTTTGTGCAGTTGCACTCTGGTAGTAAAATGAAGGATGAAGAAGACTGACAATTTAATTCAGTGCATAGTTAAACTGGTTGGCAAACTTCTCGTGCTTTCTTTGGTCCACTCGGTTCATCGCCTTCACCACCCGTTTCACAGCACCTCTGAAAGAGAAGCAAAAAAATATTAAAAACAGTTATGTTGATTCTACTCAATCTCAGAGAATGTTTATGAATGTTGGGGGGAAGAAAATGAACTATAATTAATCACTACCAGGCTTCTGCACACTGCACTGATGAGCCTGAACAAATCTGCCTCGTTAACTAAATTAGCTGCAGCAATACAAATAGTTTAATTCAGCCATGATTTTATTAACAGGAGTAAACAAATTAAAGTCTTTTAGTTTAATGGCTGTGCACTCCAGCCTCCTAGCACTATTTCTGATAGTCATACATAGCAAGTTAGAGTTCCAAAAGCGCCTAACTGCTCCAGGGAGGGGGGAAAATAAGTATCTGACAGGATCTAAAAAAATCTATCACTCAGAAGACCTTATGAAATCCAACCTGCAGAATCTAGAATATTTTAGTGAGGAAAGAGCTTGCTGTTGAATTCATGCAACTATAACCCAACCTTCCTTTCACAGGTTACCAAAACCCCACTTCAGCAGCTGTGGGCAGAGTAAGACTCTTTTGCTCGCACGAGGAGCATCACCCCCATTCCTGAGCAGCAACTTTAATCCACAAGCACAACACTAATTTAGGTAGACACCAGAGATGGTCATCTATCTTTATGCAGAGGGACAGATTGCTGCTGCAGAACAGTTAAGTGATTACAATTTAGCACAGTCAGGACAGTCTCTCCTGTATCTTATTCTTGGATCAAGTGGAATGGGATCTCTGCTACCTTCTGACACCCAAGTGTTCAAGCCCTCTGCAGTACCTGTTGTGCTTGAAGGCAGCTCTGGAGTGTTCTTCAGACTCAAAAAGGAAATAAAGGAACAAGCTTTGGAGCTCTTAAGTTTTCTGGTGCTCCTAAATCTCCTGAGGGTTTGCCCCTACATCACTGTTCTTTAGTTGTTGCCATTGTTTCCTCCACTGAAGATGGTGCCCAGATTTCTCTCCTTTTGGGAGCGACTGCTATGCTTTTGAACTGGCTGAGTGAAGACACTTTCATTTTCTTCCCTCCCCAAACTCTTTAGTGAAGATCATGCTACTGAGAATTTGAAGGTGAGGAAAATGATGCTTGGACAGCATAAATAGGAGCAGGTGATCCTCATAAATGGCACAGAGAGAGCAGGTCTATTATCCTTTAACGGTTAAGGTAGAGGAACAGGTACATGATTCCAGGAGGGTAAGAAAGCAGGAGAAAGGCAGAAGCAGAAGTCAAGGGAATCCTCTGTTGTGTACATCTGCCCCCACAGAAACATACTGTAGCTCTTGGGAACAGCCGAGTGCATCCTGCCTAAGTAATTTTGTTGTTCTTTAGGTGCTTCTAGCACAAAAGCTCAGGAATCTGAGGCTGATATCTGCAGATGTGCTCAGATGTCACCCTGCCTGTATTTATGAAGAAGGAAGTTACCTCCTAACACACCTCTGTGAAGACCTGGATTCTCTGCCAATGTGGGAAGTGTACCAGCTATGGGCTGGGTTTGAGGGCCTAGGTCTCATTTAGGAATATGGCACTCCTGCAGAAATGCACTTGGCAAGTTTAATGTAGCTGGAGCCAAAAAACCCAACTCTGTTCCACATATGATACCTAGACTGGATCTTCTTTTCCACAAGTCCTTTCCACTAGCAAACCTATTTCTTTTAATTTATTCTGGAGCAGAAGAAACTGATAACAATCCAGGTACTAAATCAAAAGCTTTCTCTCTCTCTGTTGATGCTCACACTGAAAAACCCAAAATATCACAGTGAGAGGCTGCAGAATGACCCACAGGTAGAAAGTTCCCAGCAGTAACTGGAGGAGAGCAGAGCAGAAAGAGACATCCTCACTCCCTAAAGGCCTCTGAAGTATCTTGGCCTGGCTGCTTTGCTCAGCCCCAGCCCTGAGTCTCTGCAGTAACTGAGGGGCACAGGAGCAGCACCTGGGATTGGCCCAGAGAGTAGGAGCGGGGGACCTTCCTTTAAATTCAGGGGAGGTGGGTCTGCAGGAGAGCTGCGAGCAGAGTTTGTGGGGTCACAAGCACTAATCTCAGCAATCCCCCTTCCCTGAGCACTAGCAAGGTCTGGAGGGACAGCCTTGAGGGGAAGGGTTGAGCTGGTCTCTGAGGTGCCACCCTTCCCTCTCCCACAGTGTAGCAGCAGCTCAGCCACCCCTTTGCAAAGCTGCAGTCACGAGCAGTGCCACTGATTCCCCAGGCCCACCTGTGAGGACCTGCACACTCTGGGCGAGGGCACCTCCTCCTGCAGGTCCCAACTGTGGGGGGACTCAATGATCTTAAAAGGTCTTTTTCAACCTAAATGATTCTATGACCCTAAGTTCCATCACACAAAATGAATGGTTTCAAGTCTAGTACTGTTATACTCTATGTTGTCACCGTTTGTCACTTCTGAGGATGCTGCAGGCTGTGAGGTAAAATGAAGACAAGACATCCACCTGGTAGTGTGCACCAGCCTTTCCCAGGATCAGGCCCTACACACTATGCCAGCTCTGCTCCTGTGGTTATCTCTGAAAGCCAAGCTGACTTCTGTTTTAGTGAACTGCTCTCTGTAACAGCTTCATTTCAAAAGCCATTTTGAAACATCTGAAAACAGAAGATAGTCCTTAATAATGTTTCTAAATGGTGGGATTAAAGATTTTCTCAGCAGCAGCTGTAATGAAAAACAGCATTTTGAAAAAACACCTTGGAAGAGGTATACTTTTAACAAAATTCTGCCAATAAAGTTACCAGAGTAAGGAAAATGTGGTCATGGTTTTGCACTTCAAACGTTGCCTAATTGGTAGGAGAAAAGTAAGCCTTTAGCAGTGGAGAGTGGCCTTGACACTTTCATGTCATGTAGGTTTTACATTAGCACCACTGGATTGTGCGATACTGTAAATGAAATGAGATCCCACTTTGATGATCTGTGTGCAATTTCACTTAACTTTATTGGCAGACTAGAGCCTGGGTTTATCACCTATACATTTCAAGTAATTTGGGGTTGTTATAAGGAGCCAAGGTTATCATCTTGTTTAGTGCTGCAAAGCATGAAACCTATTAAAAACATGACAGGTTTGATTCCCTATGCCTGGCACTAACACACACTCAAAATCATTAGCACAAACCACTGTAAACCAAAACCAGCTTTTTAAATCTGTTAAAGTTGATATGAAATTCTGGTCATTAAAACTGTATGTCTCTGACTTCTAACTAGTATCAGATAATTTCAGAATTTCACAGAAAATGTGCTGTTTCTCTAACTCAAAGCAATGTGGATTTGGCTTTGATATAACCATTATATCACAGACTATAACCATTAGATCACAAAAGGAAAAACAGAGTTTAAATAAATACTGTGCCTTGATATTCAACTCATCCAGTACGTTCAGGAAATAACACACCATTAGTGATTTTATAATAATTTTGCTTTTCTGATCTGACAACTTTATGCTTCTCACTTTCCTTTGACAACACAATTTTTGACACGTGGACCTCTTTAAACAGCTGTAGCTGCTTCCCATTTGCTAAAGGTCAGAGCATGCTTAGGCAAATATATGTTGTAGCCACATCTCACCAGCACTATATATCAGAAACAGTGCAACAGAGTGGACACAGGGAGCTGCTGTATGTTCTAAAACCCATTCAGCTTGGTGGGTTGGTGGGCTCCCACTTCCATCTGAGCTAGCGTGCCTGCTTTAAAGTTAACTCCTACACATCTATATAAGTCACAGGCACAACTTTGACATGTCTTAGTGCTAGTGACACCCAGTTTCTTCTGGAGCTAAGTGTAGGCTGAGAGGTACAGTTTGCACATGTGCTGGGAGGAAAGGGAGGTGTGTAGAAACAGCACCACTGCAGGAAGAACAGTGTCCATGTGACCTTGGCACAAGGATTAATCTCCAAACTCCTGCACTGAAAAGAGAGCAGGTTCCAGGCCTTGATATTTACAAAAGACAGCAGGGGTTAAGTGAACAAGGACCCTAACGAAAGAATCCAAATATTTTTCTTAACCAACTGAATGTATTCTCAGTAAAGGAGGGAAAGAATGCAATGGCAGGGTGTCACTGAATCACACAGAGGAAGGGATTGCTGTGTGGACATGCTAGACTGGAAGGCACTGCTTCAGGCCCAGCTAGCAACTGAGAATACCCAGGGGGCAGAGAAAACACACAGGAAGCCCAGGCAGTAGTCAAAAGTTTGGGAAAGTCTCTGAGCATTCACTGGCGGCTTGAGGGCAGCTGCCAAGACACTGCTGCACACCAAAAGCCAAGGATTTTTGACAGATCCTTTTATTAACTGAAGTTCTGCTCAGAACAGCCCATCTTAGGCTTTCAAAAGGTAAAACTTAATTTTCACTCCATTTACACTACCACAATGTGTCTGATGCTGTAAGTAGTGTTACTCTGAACACATCACCATCTTTCCAGATCCAGTGCTACCCACACACATGAAATAGCACTCGTCTGATTAATAAATCCAGAGATGCCTCTGCAGCAATTAAAGCATTAAAAAAAAAATAATAATTGAAAAGGATGGGAAAAAAAAGATCTTTCATGGGGAAATTTTGTAAAATAGCTGAAAATCATTCTCAAAGAAACAACCTCATCATCAGTACCTGCTACTCTTTACCCTCCAGAGATCTGGAAGGCATTCTTGCTCTGCATTTAGCAGAGAAAGTTGTTTAGTAAGAGCATGTTAATGTAGAAATAGGAAATACCACTGGAACAAGGGAAACAGTGATTTATCAGCTTTAGAGAACGTAAGCATCTTACTTATTGAAAACTTTCTTCTCAAGCCGGGAACGAGAAGTGTTAGCCTGCTGCTTCAGGTCTGTCAGATTTGGGTATTTTTTCTTGCCTTTCTTTTTCCCTCCTTTTCCATTATTTTTAGAGGAACCAAGATCCACTCCTGTAGCTGCTTCAACTTCTCTCATGAATTCTGGATCTCGCCACTCTGTTTAAAAGAAAAAAAAAAAAGCACTTTGAGACTCCAAACCCAGGCAAAGGAAGAGGAGTATAAAGCAGTTAGCCAACATGACAGATCTTGATGAAAAAGCCCTGTCAGTCTGGGATTAGTATCTATTATTAACTGCTGTAGATAAAACTGTTCTGCAGGAAGACTTAAGTTTTTGAAGTAGCACAGTAGAAAAATTCCAAGGAAACTATTCCATGTAGGAGAGGTGACATAAACACTCTGATTATTATTTAGATATTGAACAAAATGCCAACAATGCAGCTGAGGAACTTATCTCCAAAATCAAATTCTGAATAAGCTTTAAAATAAATCTAAGCCAATGGAATGTGTTAACTTCTGAGCAGAGTAGAGGTGACAGCACTGTAACTTTTCTGCATCCAAGAACTAAATTTGCTTCAAAATTTGAACTGGTATCTGATACCTAAACAGCATTCTTGAATAAGACAACACGACCCTGTTGCCAGGAGCCCAATTTTGTGTTTGAAAAAGATGCTACTTTCAAATTTCATTTCCTTAATAATTCAGAATCCAACTATACACTGTAAATGTATCCTGATCACAGGTGCCACCACAGGAAAAAGCATTCACAATTTAGACAGTAAATGCTTTGAGGAAGCCGTGGTCTCACACCTTTAGTGTAAAGTTTTGTCTATCAGAACAAGGTAACACAGTGCAAGGTAAGAATTAAAAGGTGGCAAGAAGATGGATATCTTCAAGGGGAAATTTAGAAAACTGGCATTGCATTATAAGGAATTCAAGCATACGGGTTGGAAAAAAAATGTAACAAGTACCACTGCAAAGAGTGACACGGTCCAAAATCAACAAGAAGGTCAGAATTCTGTATTTCAGAAACCAGTAATTGCCTGTCATTTGTTGTGTAGTTTCCTGTATGTCACTCAGCTTTTTTGCCTCCAGAAATTGTAACACTGAATGTTTACTACCCTTATTTAACACCCCAGTATATACAGAAAAATAAACAGTCCTAAATGACTATATGATTTCACTTACACACCAGGATGGTCACTGGATGTGACAAATGATGGTAACAACATTTCGGGAAGGTCAGAGGCAATGTCCTCACTTAAGAGCATGGTGTTTAGGAACACCAGAGCAATTTTCCAAGGAAAGGTTAGATCTAGCCTACTATGATACGTGAAAGCAAGGACTGATTAAAATCTAACACACCAAAAAGCACGAGGAAAATGAAGCTGCACAGGAAGTGGGCAGGAGAAGTATAGAGGGAGAAAACAGAATACATATACTTGATAGATCATAAGACTTCACAGACTTTTTTTTTTTTTTTTTTGAAGTGAGGGAATACAGAGCAGCACAATTCAGATACAGGAACGATTAATCCAAGATTAAGGAAAACTGTCTAAACAGTTTATCTCCCAGTAATAAGAAGGCGTCACAGTTTAGGAACCCAGTGAATGGAGCAATTGTTTAAACACAACGAAAAAATGCCGGTATCCAGTAGAGATGAAATGAGCATTTGAGTAAAATGAAGGAGCAATTTAAAAGCCTTTGAGAAAAATCAATAGAATGCCAGGGAAGAGCAGCCTTTTTGAGCATTGATGGGCCCCTAAAGCTCTTCATACATTGTTACTGAGTTTAGCAGCAGGGAAAAGAAAATTACACAGTTTGCAAGGGTAGGCGGGAATCAATACTGTAGTTAGTAAAGAGATGCTATTTCACATCTGACTGGCCAGCGGCCTGCCTTCACCAGCCTGTCCTGATACCTGTTTGTTAACAAGTCACTAAGGGCTGAAAAACCAGATACTCTTCAGGGTTGACACAAAAAATAGGCACTTAATTTGCTCCTGTGTGCGAACTATTGGAAAAGGATGAGCGCTGCAGATTAGCAGGTCAGCGTAATCCCACCTGATTTATTGTTTCAGGACTGAAGAGCCCAAAGCACCATTTTGTGGACATCAGATAGAGTTTAAATTTTTATACTAAGTCAAAAAATAAATAACAATGGCAGTGTTGTCAAAACAGGCATTATCACATGAACTGTGTTGCTTTTACATAATTGTTTTCCCCTTTAATCACACATGGATGAAAATAAATCTTCCATCCAACAGAAAGATGATGTAGGAATTTTGGTGCAATTTAACCATACAACTGATCCTCAAATTTTAACCTATTTTTCAAAACTTTTCCAACAGTTGTCATTAGCAAATGATATTGTCAGCCCTAAGACTGAAGCCCTTATAGTACAAAGTGGGTTCCCACCTGTATATTGTCCATAGCTTCACTGCTTGGACTTGCTTCAAGTCCTTGGTAAAAAAATCCCAAACAAACCAACCCCAATGCAAACCAAGCAAACATCCCTCCCTAAAACACAAGCCCAAAACAAACAAAAAAAATATTTTAAAAGCTTGATGAAAATATTATAAAACAAATATAAAAATAGCGAGGCTCAGAAAAAAAACAGAAAGCAACAAAAAGCAGTGGATAAAAGTATTTAGTGACAGCTGGTATATGTATGGCTTTAGAAACCTGTAAGGTTTTGTCCAATAAATAAAGTGCCATAGCTTGTTCAGTATCTCCCCAGACAGATGGGATGGACCTTTGAATGACATCTCAGCTTAACAACTGCACTCAATAATGCAACGCAGCAACATCAACACTGGTTTGGGACTAACACACACATCCTTGTGGGCCAGAGGTGAGAAGCCTCTAACAACACCGAGCTGGCACTGTAATAAAAATAAGTATTATGTCTAGCCTCAAGCAATGGCAATTTCACAGGAAAAAAAAAAAAAAAAGAAAAATCAATATTTTTTCAGTGCAAGTGATTTTTATACCAGAGTATTAGTTTCTAGTCTGAAACTAGAAACTCAGGAACACCTACTAGTTTGATTTACTAGCTTCAGTTTATCACAACGAAGTTGAGAACTTTCTTCTTTAGCACAACATCCACCCTGTGCCCTGGATTTTGCTGTGACAGTCCCTCTGTGCCCATGCTGTTGGCTGGATGCCAGTTCAAAGTAGTTCACTCCACCTGGACAAGTATGGAAACCACCTACAAACGTAGCACTTCCAGACACGTGCAGACACCAGTAACTGCTACACTGGTGTAGTGCTGGTCATTGCCAAGAACAGTCACTCAAAGATGGCCAAATCAGTATTAAAGGAAACTGGGAGGTCAGTTGAATGTTTAAATGCACATTCACTCTACACAGACCTTTTTGGATAACAGAGCAACAACTGTTATACTCTGAAAGGGTTTCATGGAAGGTTTAAGTAGCCTCATTAATAAAAAATATAAAATTGGTGAAATAGTCAGAGCTTAGAAGAGAACTAAATCCTGAAAGGGAGTATAGTACAAGTTATCAAAATGATAAAGCCTATGGGTAAGTTTAATTAGAACGCAGAATATTAATCTAGAATAGACAGCTTAAAACAGAGAAAACTAAGACCTTCTGGAGTATGGCAGTTTAAATAAAAGCCTTGACTCTATCAAACTATAATCTTTGTCTTTGCTGGATAGATCCCTCTCACCTATCTTCCTTTGCAATCCATCAATTTCCAGCAGCTTCCAGGTTGCAGTTCCCCTGCCACTCTATGGAAATCTACTTCCTATCTATTACTGATGAGGTTTAGTTGTACTGCAGCAAAAAAGTCTCTTATTCTCTTTGGAAGTCTTTCCACCCATGTATTCATTGCTTGCTGTCTGTCTTTCTCATTGCCTGCACTCCTTACTTGGAAGTCTTTCCACCCGTGTATTCATTGCCTGCTGTCTTTCTCATTGCCTGCACTCCTTACCCAACACTTCAGAGCTTTATCCTGGCTAAAAATGCCCAAATAATCTTGGGGAAGGATGAGCTTTCTCTCCACACCTGAAAGCAGCAGCCAGGATGCAGGGAGAAGGCCGTTAGCTTTGTTGTCCATCTTTATTGTTTAAAAACAAAATCCAGAGTATTGCACAGTAGCATGTAAACAGTTAACCAGCACAGGTCTGCTTGCTCCCTTCCTCAAACCCATCACAGACATCAGGCTTACTAGAACATCCAGACTAGTCAGAATGCCTATAAAGCCAAGCCATGTTGAGGGCTGTGCTAGTTTATTTACTAGCAATGCTGCACAGACACACTGCATAACAAGGTCAAGAATTCTTCTTCCAAAACACAAGTAGTGAAGAGATACAGGAAATATAGAATATGATAGATACAAATAGATACAGGAAAAACAAGTTCCTGCACTGTGACAAAACCCCCACTCTGACAGTATTTGTGATGATACAGTGATCCTAATAATATTATCATCATGTGACATGAATCTCAACCTAGGGACCAGCAAGATTGCAAGATTTTTTTTCAAAAGAATAGGAAAAGTTACTGTCACACATTTTACAGAAAATAGGTTTAATTTTTCCTAATAAACACATTCCTTAAGTTACATGCTATAATTCATCTGTCTGTGAAGTGTTAGAAAGATTATGATGGCTATTGGGAAAGAAAAAAACAAATGCAATGTGCCCTGAGCAACAAAAAAGCTCTATATATAGATACAGTATAGATACGACATAAATTTATTGTAGTTTGTCAATATATTGTAGATACTATAAATACTGTATATAATTTATACACAATAAGGATAATACACTTACATTTAAAGTTCATCTCCCACCTCTGCCTAATATTTTTAATTTCTAGGTTTTTTTTAAGATGCTGTGCAGACACAAACCTGGCTGAGCTGCTTGCTTCTCAAACCGCATCTTTTCTTCTCTGGCTCTGTCCTCTGCATTAATGGGAATCCCAGAGTCATCCCGAGGAATGATCTTTCCATGGAAAGGGCACTTCAGAAAGAAAGGGGGAAAAAGTCTCAAAACTTCTGAATGAAAAGAAAATGCTTACATTCAACATAGCTCAAAGCCAGACACTGGAATCAAGGACCAAAACTCTACGCTTGATTCCCAGTCACTCTTAGAAAGCACCAGGATCCCATAAAAATAATGTATTTAACATATTCAGAATCTCAAAGAAATAAGCTCTTCATGACATGAACGTCCAGTTTCAAGACCCAGGAAGCACATCCTGCCAAGCCTGGAACAAGGGCATCAATGCTGCATCATATGTTGCTGTTTATGCTACACCCCTACCCTGTAACAATCCCATCTGAAGTATTTTAGTGCATTCAGATCCTTTATTCCGATGTAACAAAGGAAGAAAAGGAACAGTAGAATAAAGTATTTAAGCAAAGTATTTCTGCTCAATAGGGCTTGTAATTGGAGGCTGTGTAGCATTTAGCTTTCATAAAACCTGAAATGTAAATAAAATCTCTTTGCCCCTCAAACACACAAGTTTCTAAAAACAGTTATTATCAGATATGCCTCTAAATGAGGAAAACGTTTTGGCAACCAACTGTCTCTGCTTTATTGCCAGGCACTCATCTATCACACTAATAAATAACACATAAATACCTATGATGAATGCCAGAAATAGTTGAAAGTTCCTTAAATGTTTACAGCTTCTTCACCCAAAGGGTGCTTCCCATATGAAGCACATATCAACAGCAAACTTCTCCAGACACAATTATCTTCAGCTCCCCTTACCATGTGAAATAAAGTTTTAGGGACATGTTTTAAAAAGATCACCTTCATATAGCAAATATCCTGGAGTTTATATAACTTGGTGCCCACCTTAACTCGATCCTGTCTTTCACACAGTCTCCCATCGGGCATTGGTGCTCGACATTTATGTTGCACTGGTTCAAACTTGCCAGCAAATGTTATATATCTAGTTTTTAGCATTTCAGTTATTTCTTTATTTTCCACCTCTTCCTCTACTTCACTGGGTGCCCAAAATCGATGCTCAGAAGCAAATCTGGGAAAACAATGAAAGAAAAACATTCACAGATAAAGTTGTAAGAAAGCACATAAAGCTGCCAGTTTCATACGGTGGTAAACTTCCATGTAAAAAAAAGGGAAGCTTTACTAGTGAATTAGAAAAACCTAAGGATCTAACATTCTTTCTTATGACTCCTACATTACGAAAATGTTTTTATAATATCACTCAAGCCTGTCTAGTATTGATTTCTTGTTTAACCTGCTAACCTGTTACAAGTCTTGGCTCTAGTTCATGATCTGACATTCAGAATCAGTTATCCAATATCTGGAATAATTTTGTAGTTCTGGAGTTAACATCCTTCACAATAAAATACTTCTATGACTAAACACAGAAGATAGATCAGGGAGGAAGCAGTTTGGTCTTGTTTGATGTTATTCCAGGTAGCTGTACTTCTGTAGCAGCAGAGAAGCAGGAGCTGAAATCAGAATATGTTGCAATATATTGAGACCAAGGAAGAATCAGCTGAGTCTTTACAGAGATTCCTTCTTTCAGCTGCTCCTATAGAGTGTCCATAAATCTGAGAAACTTAGGGTGTGTTCCTCTAGCAAATTAAGGTAGTGCCTACATTTACAGACATATATAGGCAAATGCACAAAGAAAATCAGTACCATGTCAGTGGACCTGAGGAGTGGGAGAGAATGGGAACAAGGACCCACGAGTGATGTAGTATTTCCAAATTTTCTCAACAGTATTCACATAATTTCATTTTAGCCACCCTGGACTGCCAGTAGTCTATAATGAGAAACAGGCAACCCCAGAGAGTAATTACTGGACTCTTTTAGATGCTAAGCTTAAGATGCACTGACTGTCTCTCTGACAGTAAATGTTTCTTTCTCCTAACCATGAAAAGAAATTAGGGCTATTGGTTGAATCTTAGATATCTATCTAAGACATCTGAAGTTAAAAATCAGCAATCCCATCCCAAATTTAAGGAAATATGAAGTTAAAGAGGAAAAAATACAGCTACACTAAGCAAAAAAACATTCCAGATTCCAGCCTGCATGTCTGCTGCTTATTGCAAGCAAAATGGAGATATCTAGGTGACAGATGTCTTGATAAGAACTTAAAATTCATAAAGAACACTCTGCAGTTCCTTTCTTCCACATAGCTCTCCCACCCAACCAGTCCCAGACTGATTTGAGAGGATTTTCTCTATCCATATACAAGTCCTCTCACTCATTAATATCTTCAGATGTTTTTCCTGCTTCTGAGACTTTGCCTTCTGTAGACTGCAGAGCCATATATATGCAAACACTTAACATAGTAACGTATTTCCACAAATTTTGGTTAAAAAAGAAAAAAAGGTTTTCAATCACATAATCCTGCAAACTATAGCCTAAACAAAAAGCTTTATGAATCTTTACAATGTATCAACATGGCTTTAGTCAAACATTTGAATGGTACAGAATTTTAGCTTCTGAAGTTATGTGGTTAGATTTTACAACAGATAGGAAATAAAAGAATTAAATTTCTTAACTGCTCAGTTTCAAAACAATCACGAAAGCAAGACTGACTGCTAGCTCTGTGCTTCTAACCTTACAGACAAAAGGAGGGGAAAGCATTCCTAAAAAGACAACATGCAGGATTTCTAAGTGCAAGGTATTCCTACAGAATCTCTTGGCAAAATTCTAGTGTCCTTTGGTGGTCTGGTCTCCCCTCCCCTCTAAATTATCCAATTACCGTTACAGGAGAATGAAGAAGCATTTACCAGTTGCATCATGCCAAACTTCCCAATTATTTTTTCCACTTGCCCTGCCCACCTCATCCCCCAAATCTGCATCTAACAAATCTCAAAGAAATTAAAATTATGCTTTACTCAGTGTATCATTGATCAGGATTTGGTAACTGGACTTAAAGTAGCCCAGTTCCTACACAAATATTCATAACTATTATTGTTCACTACAAGCTTATCACTAATTTTCTCCCAGCATGACTTACAAGCAGATAAGAAAAAAAAACAAGCAGAGCTAATTCCCAAATGTTTCTGATTGCCTACTGTTGTAATTTAAGCAACATTTTAAAAAGGCAGAACATGAGAATATTTCTTAGTTTGAAAAAATGATGCATGTAAAGTAAAACCTTTTCATAAGAGGGATCAGAAGGGAACAGATAAGTGACTAGAAGAGCAACATTCCACTCACACTCATAGCAAGAGTGTTACTGATCTAGACAAATAACAGAGGCTTTAATGGAAATTACATAGCTACATATCAGGAGGAAAAAAAAGACAAGTAATGGTTAACTGAAATAGAAAAGAAAGCCCAGCTCCAGAGAAAATGTTGCACTCTTTCAACAAATTTATATCAACTCCATTCCTAAGATGATGGGAAGATTATAAAAAACTTGAATGAATATAAATTCTAAAGCCATATGATGCATATAGAGATCCTGGAGCAAGTGCTAAATGAGTTAATTCAAATACCATTGTCACAGTCATAGAAAGTGCTGCACCAGCTAATTTACTCAGATCCAAAGAGTAAGCTCATTTAATCCAAGGAGTAGGGTAGATGAGTTTGGAAGGCCCATGCCACCCTCATTTTAAGAGTTCTTACATTAGCTTAATGAGTTGTGTGAGTGAAGGCAGAAGCAGGGAAAATGGTTTGGCCCAAACTTTTTGTAATCCCACAGTTCCTGTCACCTTCTAAAGAGGGTGAGCATCCACCATTTACCAGCTAAGCAAAAATTCCCTAGTAAATCATCTTCCTGGTAGCTACATTCTCACTACCAAAATCTTAATTTATTGTAAATGCTGTAGTTAAGTAGATGTAGTGTTAAAGAGGTGAAGGGAAAAGACTTTTCCACTTCAGATTTTAAAAATTTAAATTCTGTACCTGTTCTTTGTTTTTCTTTCTTTTCCCCCTAGGCACCTTATGGAGACAGAATGTGTGCATACAGAAAAGTTAAAGGAGTTGGCCAACGACTACCTTAATTTTTCAATAAATATGGTGTTATACCCAAGGGTCAATAGTTTTGTGTGCAGAGTTACTTAAATTTAGTTAGACTGGCATATCTGTACTTATGGACTATAAGGTTCAGAAGTGTGACCTCTATTTTATTGGAAAGCATAAAAATAAAACAGTACAGCACAAGGCAGACAGGCAGTGAAATACACTTCTGATTTCACTTATGACTTGAATAACTCATTTGCAATGTAAAATAAAGCCTTACTACTTTTTTTGGCATTATCACAGACAAATGCTTCTTAAAGCCCTGCTGAAAATCTTAACCATTTTATAGGCTTTGAAGAGCTTATACCACATGAGACAGAACCCAAAGCTTGGAGTGACTGTGTTAAAGAACAAATTTCCCTAGCTTTCAATAATTTAAAAGATATTCAGCATTTTATGCAAACAAGCACAGGGGCAAAGCTCTCCTCTTTTTCCTGTCTGCAAACACTGTCTTAACACTGTGATTATGAGTTGGGTTGGTTTGTTTGTTTTGGTAAGAAAACAAAGTTAAAGGACTTAAATGAAATTTATACATAGAGGGAGGACTATCACAACTTTTAAATGAATGTACTAGTGCTAAAAAGGAGTTTTAAAAACTGACTACTAGAAACAAGTTCTGATGTATACCTACCATCTCTTCTCCCCAACATTGCTAAAGCTTTCCCTAAGTCAGCAGTGCTTTGTGTTCAAGAAACACAAAACCTTCCTAGACCAAAACAGAAAGTGAGAGATACAAAATTCAAATCCTGTAACTGCCACCTCGTTCTTATGTGATTGAACAAGCATATCAATTTCCTTAGCTACCACTTGTGAAGTCAGGAAAAATACCCCAAACACCTCCCTAGACTTTCTCCTACCTTGCCTGCTATTTGTTTAGGCTGTGAATTCTCCAGCAGAGGGAATGTCTATCATGTATAGCACTCTGCATAATGAGGTACCAGTTTAAATTGGAGTAAGTGATGCCATGCTGCAAATAATGTAGAAACATGAAAAGATCAGGAAAAAAAAAAGTGCTTTGAAGCATCAAAGGATATTTAATTAGTATCACATCTTCTCAAAACAAATAACATTTAAAGGTAGAATTTCTGACTTTGTTTATAGGTCCTACAACACAAGGGAAAGAAGAAAAGTAATTATCAAAAGAAATAGGAGTCACCCCACTGCATGACCTTTGAGTACAAGTAAATCTATGTATTTGTTTAATTTGTCTTAGAAGAAAAAAAAGCATTACTTGAGAATCTTCCCTGCACTTGGCTGATCCTGTCCCCAGTAGTGAAGATCTAATCCAAAAGGCATGAGGGGAGCTTTAGCTCTTTCTTCTTCTAGTTTTCTTCTCTTACTGTCAGGCTCTGCCAAGGCTGCTGGATCAGTAGCTGAAGAGTCACTGAAGAAAATTGATGAAAAGTCAATACAGAACAGCAGTGATCACAACTTTCTCTTTTTTCATCAGATTTTCACACCAGTGCTAGCATTTTCTTAGACCTAGGACTACAACTACCTTTACAGGATTGTCCTTTTTTTCTTTAAAAAACAAATGATACAGACTATACCTAAATACAGCAGGCTGCACCAAAAAGCTTACCTGCACATCCAGCTAAAGCTAGATAAAATGTATTCTGCCATGGGTGTAGAAGCCTAGAGGTGTAATGGGATGTACTGAGGTGGAAAAATATTTTTAGTATATTTTGATTCTGTAAACTCATGCCCACGGTAGTCACACAGATTGCAAAGTCTTTGTTTTTGCAGACAAAATTCCATCTTGCAGGTGCAATATACTCATTGTGCAACACCACTGCAGAACTCATCAGTCCTCAGAAAATACAGTACTACTATGGAGCCCTTGGGTAGTCACTGAGCTTCACATGGTCTTACTCACCTGACTCATATTAAATTCTTAAAGAGAAAGTCAAAATGTACACATGAATACTTGAAACTTTGTAGTTCTACTGAAGCAACCCACTCTCCCACATTACAATTTCAATTTGCTCTGTTTTGGGGGCTTTCTTGGCCAATAAATGTCTTTTCAGAAATGTGCCACTAAGTAGATTGCTCCAGTGCTATACCCAAATCACAGATAAATGATAGTCAAAGTTGGGGTTTCATCAAGCTTTGAATAGCATTGTCTTTGGAATCAGCAAAACATGCCTCCAGGCAGCACTGACAGAAAAAATCACTAGGAACCAAGAGATGGTTGAAACTATTTTCTAATTTAGTTTTAGGATATGTTCTTTTTAGTCATAAACTAATAATTAGCCCAATAAACAGGGATGAGATTTTTGTTAGACAAGAACACTTCATATCTTCATTAAGGCCACTTACACCAAATATAACCTAAATCAAGTGAGTAGTAAAAGGTTCCTTAACATCCTGGTGCAATCACAAACAAAACCTTAAATATTAAGCAGTGAATGTACATCCAGTAAAAGAGCTGCAACTTCAAAATGAAACCAAGACAGCCTTAACATTGTGCCTAGCTCATGAGTACTTTTCTGTGTGGTTTCGTGACTAACAAATACAAATAAGAGCAAGAGGTCTCTACAAGAATTAAACCAAAAATAACCTTGCATGTGGAGGTGGCAGCTTTGGTAGTTTGTCTCTAATCAGTTTCAGTGTGGCAGCTGCACAGGTTGGATCAAGTTCATCCTCATTCCCTTTCAGCTGGGAGCAGGAGCTCAGCGGTGCTGGTCCTACCGACGTCTTCCCCACCGGTGCTTTTGGAGGGGACTGGGGCTCTAGCCCTGCAAGAAAAAAATCAATGGTTAGGAGTGATTCCCTCAGCAATTCACAGTGGGGCCAAACAACTCAGGATGCTGGTTACATGTCTAATGCAAACTGAGAGCAGCAGGACATCAGTTCCACTCAGAGACAGTGCGATACTTCTGCCTGTGAAGTTTTTCTTACTTTGGAACATACTGAGGAACTACCTACAGCACTTCACCTTTTGTATGGCATGGTGGGGCAACAAAGAATGATGTTACTTCACCTTGGAAGGAAGGATTTTAACAATACATGTTTGCCTAAATTGCAATACTGCTTTTTGTATAAAAGCTTCTAGCATCACTCCTACTTGCTGGTATGTCATTTCTGTACCCTAGGTCATATCAAGGTGAAACAGAGGAAAGGATTTCCACTACTGTTCAACACCTACAGTGCCAAAAGAAAACCAAGAGTAGTAGAAAGCAAAAAGAAAGGCATGGGTATCCTCCTGTGTGCTAAGATTAATTCTTTGTGGTGTCTCAGCAAAAAGTGCAGCTGAAAGTCTCACAGCCTGGCAAAGGGAAACCAGCTGTGGGTGGGAGACGCACTGCACCACATGACTGACAAGAACAGGGACCATGTCACCCAGCATGGATGGCAGAGATCTGGTGAAAAAAAACAAGTCTGTATGAGGCATTTCCCTGTTCTTTGATGATTCCCAGCTACCACATTGACCCTTCAGAGCTGAGAATATAAAAGAAAATAGCTTTTTTTTTTTCCTGATTTGTTAAAGGACAGCACCACTAAGGATAGCTGAGTTTTGATTCCTAAATATATCCCCAAACAGAATTGTCTAGAGAATGTTCTTTCACAGATACTAAACCACACGATTTGCAAAGATAAAATATCTAAGTGCTGGCAGAAGCAATGACCTTACTCACTGAGTATGCTCAAGAGGCAGCAAATGCCTCAACTGCACCTGAGGAACAAGCCCACTGCAAGGTAGTACCAGGCATTGATGTTCAGCACAGTTGTGGGGCAGCTTAATTACTTTATACAGCTAGATTAGACAGTCAGCACAGAGTGTAGTGATGAAATTAGGTAGGCTGAGCAGTTAGACAGCACAGGCCTCTATCTGCTGAGCTAGAGAAGCAACTCTATTAGCTGGCAGTAGTAACAAGAACTCTTCAGCCAACGACAGCTAATAATGGAAAGACGTGATCGTTCACGCCAACGTAACAGACTCCATCTTCCATCAGAAAGCCTGTTTATAAAAGAAGTGATTGAAATGCAAGGTCTCACACCCCAAAACCACCTAAACCAACACCAAAAATTCATGGTTTCACACAACTAAAATTTTAGGCGAATTATCTCAGCCTTCATATGAAAAGCAACCTCAGTTTCTCTGGCATGTTTTAGCCAGTATTTAATTGGGACTTTCAGTCTCTTGCCCACTCCCAGCCAGCCCTGAAGCTGTATCCAGAAGTTTTCTTGCTTTGCTAATTTCTTTCACTACTCATTAAATGTATCACAAGACATCAAATAAAATAGAAGAAGGTAAAATGGTGTGACTTGCTTTCTGAACAGCAAGTTGCAGGACTCGTAGCAGCAGGTAGCTTTGGTGCACAGTTTTCATTTCAGAGAAAAACCTATTTTTCACAAACAAAATGAGACCAGCTTGCCCTGACTCTTTTCCACTTTATAAAGTCTTAGATTAATTCATCCTGACCCAAATTAATTTGTACCATGCATTCCCTGTAAACTATGGGGTGTAATCATACAGAAGGCTTAACTCCAGGTCAACTTGGTGAGCTGGCAACCTTCTAGATACCTATGGATCTAACCTTTCCAAGCACCTGGATCAGGACTAGAGGCCTTGCTCAGGGAATGACATTCTGGTTTGCCAAGGCTTAGGGCACTGAGCAGAATGGTCTGTCAAGACCCTGTTTAACCTAGTTCCTGGATATCCTCTCCCTGGAGGGAGCCAACAATTCTACATCAACAAAGCTAGGGCCCCTCAGAAGGAGAGGGGAAACAAAAGCTATCATTGGACAGCTTTTGGATAACCATTGGATCTAGCTTGTGTGCATGTGTAGCCTCCTAATTTTGCTGCATACAGTGAATGTACACTTCTCAGTCATTCCTAGATATTCTTAATACAACAGACTTGTAGGAGAGACCCAGAACACTCTCAAGGATGAGAACTTTTCTAGACCATTTGAGACCCCGTGTCTCTGTCTAGAATGGCTTACTCTGGTAACAATGGAGGAAAATGTTAGAAGGTCGAGGCAATTCAGGGCAGAGGCCAGTAGCAACAAGGGTGGCAGATGGCTTACCTGGCCCTTTCAAAACAAAAGAGGGAAGGAAGAAGGAACTGGAGAAGAGGATGAGACAGCACTTGCCATCAGCAGTTAATGAGCATTCATAGAGACTTCTCTGCCTCCTCCTCACCCTCCCCAACAACTCAATACATTCCTTCTGCTTATCCAGTGTACGACAAGAGAAATGTGGACCATTTGAAAAAGATGGTTGAGGGAGGCCAACTACATCCATGGTTCAACCTGTGTGTGCTAGTATTCTCCCATGTCCATAGAGAGATCAGACCCTGCTCTGGCAAGGTGATGCATCCCACTGTTCCTAAGAAAAGGCTACTTGAGTATCTGTAGATAGCCCACAGGAGTGAACACACATCTGAGTGGGTATTTCAGTAGGGCCAGCCTAGCAGCTGTCCTGGAAAGACTTCAGCATGTACTCAACTGCCTGAATGTCCACAGGTAGCAAGCACTGGAGAGTGGGGAAAAAGCCATTCACCACAGTCTGAAGCCAGTGTCAGACCCAGCTCTTCCCCTGTTCCCTGTTCTGCACTCTGGAAAATACCCTAAAACCAAAGACCACATTCCAAAGGCAGAGCATCCTGGAAGACAGTGGTGCTTGAGCTCTCCAACGATTCCTGGGGAGTGAAGTTATCATGGACTGTGATGCAATGAAGGATGGATGACCCCTTCTTAATCTTTATGTTCTCAGCCTGGAGGGTAGAACCAGCTGTAGACAGACAGAGGCCATGTTGCTGTTGGCTGGTGCTGCTTCTGAGCATGCCTGACACTACTCCTCCCTTACTCAGTCTTGGCCCACATCACATACTCTAATGAAAGTGATGAACATTCACCTGATATCTAACTTCCCTTCCCAAAGTCAGCAAGGCTTTAAAGATCATTGTTTAAAAAATAATTTCAAGGACTAATCTGTGCATTGGAGAAGGGTCTCAAAACTAGCAGAAGTACCAGCAATGAGAGAAACAGTCATTAAGCCTAGTAAGATGGAACTAAGCAGAGAAATATCTAGGCTAAATAGAAAAGAAATTATCTCATTACATTTATTAGGCTGTGGACTTGCCATTCAAGAGGCATAATGGTGCCTTCACAAAAATGCTTTCTAAATAGCACTTCAGTGAAATATTACAGTAGAAGTCTTGAATTTATGTATCTGGAAGGAGGACAGGATAGGACTGAAGGAGGACAGGATAGGACTGCATCTCAGCTCCTGTCAACTGGCTAGAAAGGGAAAAAGCCCTTCTCAGATGCTTTGTATCAAAATGAAACAGAATTAACCCAAAAGATTCTGTTATAACCACCCTTTAGAATCATCAGGATTTGGAAGAGTACAGTTCCTTTTATGACAGAAACAGCTAGAAACGAACAGGCCCCTTTGGCACAAGCAAGGTGAGCTGTGAAGAACATGTGATACACTGTATCTGTAGTATAGAATTGCTAAGACTGTATTTATAATTTAAAGTTGCTTTTTTAATCTTTTTTTAAGACTGTATTTATCGTTTAATATTTCCTTCTTAATCTTTTAAGCACAAGAATATCTTTCTGAAAAGCACTGTTTAAAGCAACAGTATCAAAAGCACTTCTGTACGTACTATTTACAAACTATCAGTCAGAAGGTAGCAGATGTAGTCTCATACCTTCTCTCTTCTTCAGAAAAAAATATGTATTAAAAGTTCTCAGCAAAACTTATTTTTATTCCATTTTTTTCATGAGCATGTTTGCTCATTCACTACACTGATCTTGTTTGAGGAGGAGAGGATGTGAACAGCAGAGACAAGCAGTCAGCAACACACCGAAAAGGCAAGAGAGATAAATGGACAATGTGACATTTAGATAGATAAAATCACATCCAAAAGATCAATACAGGAATTCTTAAGGGTTACAAGAACAAAATATTTTCCTATTGATTTCTTATTTTAAACTATTAACAGAAAAATGGCTAAAGGTAAATACACTACAACATCAGTAACACCACCTCTACTGTGGATTTTTTAAAGGATATTTGTATATAAAATTAGCTTTTGCCAACAAGATAAAGACAAGCCACCACACAGCCATAGCTGAATGGTATCCAATGTCAGTGGGCTTTTTGTTTTGTTTTGAAGACACAGATGGGATTAGGTGCAGTTTTAGAATTTCTTAAGAATTCTGCTGTTCTGTGTATTTCAACACAAGTGCAGTACCTGGGTTCAAACTGTTCCAATAGTGGCTTTTAGAAAGAATCATAAAAATGTTCAAATCCCCTTTTTTGTTTAAATTGACCAAATGGCACCTATTTGCCTGAAGCAATAAGGTAGCCCGTGTTCAGAAGATAAATCGATGGAAGGAAAGAGAGAGGCTGGGGTTTCAGCTGAAGTTAGGCTGCTGAATGCTGACATTATTGATTTTAGCTAGTTCAGCTGGCCTTGTAATTAAAATGTAAATTTGAGAAAGAGATTATGTCCTGACAGAAATGGTGGGATTAGGGGGAGATAAAAGCCCCTCAGTGAAAATTCAGAGAAAGAGCAAGCACAGGTTTCCTCAGCTGTGTGGATTTAGAAGAAATCTAGCTACTTCAGATTCACTTAAGTTTAATTGAAAAAACGGAGATAGAATATAAACAAGTATTATGGACTTCAGCTTTCCTGAAAAAAAAAAAAAATAAAATCTGGTTCCCATTTGTTGAATCTTAGTCCAGCTGAATGTGTGTGATTTGTATTAGTACAGGCTCC